CGAAATGTCGCATCCCATTTCCTCAGCTATGGCCTTGTGCAGGCTGGAAGGGGCAACCTTCAAATTGCTGACCACCTGAGCAACAGCGCCTGTGCTTGAGACTCCACTATCATCAATATATTGGTCAAGCTGCGCGCGAGGGGGGGGAACTCGATTTTGTCGAAACTCTCGATGCAATAAACCTTGACGTACGACGCGGCGAAACTGCAACCAGCGATGACCCCCCTCACCGCGTAGAAGGGCCCCGACACGTAGTTGCCCATACACATAAACCTAGCTCCACGGTGCGCCGCGATCGACAGCCTATACAGCACGGGAGGGAACTGAACGCGCTGACAGTGTAGCTCCAACCGTTCCAGAGAGATGCCTTCGTAGAATTTCGCCATGTCTCAGAGCAAAGTCCCCGAACACAGCCCCTTGGAGTTAGCGGTCTCAGATTTCAGCAGCAGCCTCCAGACCACGTCCGTGGCGGAGGCGAACGGTTGGCCAGCAACGTAGGGCCGAGAGAACGCGACCTCCCACTGTTGGGCGTATATGCGACGGCATCTTCCCCACAGGCGGTGTATGGAGCAGAACAACCCAATGGGCCTCCAGCCTCCGTTGGGCTTCATGAGTAAAATCACCTGGGTGAGCTGGACCTGCAATGGGAGGCACGATATGGACTCCAATATGCTGATCATCGTGGAAGCCACTTGTAAACGCTGGTCCGACATCCACGAGTCGTGTCTCATATGGAATCCGTCCATCGCGCACGCCGTAGGGGTCGAGCATTGCCTAGAGACCTCTCTCAAGAAATCAACTTCGAGCGGCGGAAGGGGCTCCAATGCAGTCAAATGTCCCCTATAGTCAGGCCTGGACTCGGCCTCCCCAATTTTGGAGAAAAGCGACGCTTGGTTTTTGGGGGGGGCCAGGGGGTCCGAAATCGCAATCCCAGCCGGCGACAGGGTGGTGGACGCCTTCCAGCCCGCCACGGGCTTCCTGGCCAGGTGCGCGTTGCGACCCCCTTTTTTTCGATGTGCTTTAACAGCCGCTCCTTCCAGGATCTAGAAGCCTGACTCCTGGCGCGGTTCTGCTCCGCCTCCAGCGCCTGACTCAAGTCAGCGAGCAAATCGAAATCGATGGCCGCGTCAGCCTCGTCAACCTCTGTCCAGCGGGGGTCGACGTAGCCGACGGCGCAGGGCGTGTCCTGCCTAAGCGCGGCGCCGACTCTGATAGTCGCGCCGTTCCTGACATTATGTTCGGTAGCAGCCCGCAAAAGGTGGGGGCGAGAAAGGCAGACCCTGTGCTGGCATCTGAGAAGCAGCTCAGAGTACGGGCCTAACAAATTAACAAGATCCCCAGGCGGGCCACCGATCAAACGAGCGCGCTGTTGGGCCTCTGGAGAACCAACCTTGGCACCTCTCCACTGACGGAAGGTGCTCGAAAACCATTGAACCCCGAAAAGCTCAGGGCGCTTGCACTTCTGAGCGGAGTCCCGAAACACAGAGGCCCATTTAAGCTTTGGCTTGCGCCCACGCGCCCCGTACCTAGGCAACTTAGAATGAGCAGCCTCGGCCACCTCGTACTCATCCAAATTCCCCCAGAGACGGTAGAGCCGAGACAACTGTTCCTGGGAACCCTCGGACGAAGCCCCAGGAACCAGCTCGCTCAGGATGTTGCCTCCCGTCCCGAGGGCGCGTTTCCAGGAAAGGGGGGGTCCTATGGGGCGCTCAGAGGGGGTGGGGTGGGTGGGTGGGGGGAAGGGGTGCGGTGGTGGTGGTGGTGGTGGTGGTGGTGGTGGGGTGGTGGCGGTGGCGGCGGTGGCGGGGTGGTGGGGGGGTGGGGGGGGGGGGGGGGGGGGGGGGGGGGGGGGGGGGGGGGGTCGAACGCCGACGCCTGCAGAGTAGCCGCGCGCTCATGCAGCTCGAGTTGGACAGGCAAATGCGGCGTCATGTTCGAACCTCTTTGGACCGAGGCATCCTTGACAGCCTTGGCGAGGCCCTTCGAGGCCACGAAAAAGTGGATCAACTTCATCCCGCCCGTGGTGGAGCAGGTGCCGTCGCACGGCGGAGAGATGATCTGCCCCGATAAACGTTCAGGGGGACCGCTGTCCAGGATGTTCCCAGGGCTCATATTGAAATCTCCCCCCCACCAACATTTCAGACGCGTGGATTTCCTGGAGGCTGCCGACAGCGCCCAAAATATCCAAATTGCGAGTGGCGAGGCCCTCGGAGCAGTGCAAGCGCACCGAAACAAAAAGAACCTGAAGAGCTTCGTCCCCGGGAATATGAATGATGCCCGCGACCGCACTGGACGGGGCAACTTCTGAGTTGAAGTTGGGCAGGGGGTGCAAGCCGAGAAACTCGCGTCCGAGCGCAGCGACACCGCCTGAGCTCCCCTCGCCCTCGCCTGGAAGAGCAGGAGAGATAACCCCCTTGCAACCGTTGCGCGGGCACCAGGCCTCCGCAACTTTACACGACTCACTGGGCACCAGGTGGCGCTCCTGGATGGCCACGGCATGGGCCTGGGCCCCCAGGAGCCATTCCTCGCAGGACCCCCGCGACGTGGCGCTACAGGTTTCAAACTTTAAACAGAACTGCTCCATGGACGGGGAGTCGGGCACCTGAAAGAATTCAAAATTGGACCCGGCGCCAACCCGAGCAGCAACTAAACTGTCACTGATCCCGAAAACACGGCCTGCAGGAGGCCCGTCCTTGGAACGCGAGAGCTTTGGAAAGGAGTGCAGGGGCGAAAGGCCCCCCGCCGCCTCCTCCTCCAGAGGAGCAATCGACTTGACTGAAAGAAAGTGCTGGGAACTGCTGCTACCCTGGAGAACGAGCAGGAGCAGCGTTGGCAGACGCAGCAGTCTTGGCGTTCTTCGCTGTTGCCTCGATGAACGAAGAGACACGCTCCCTCGATTCAGCCGAGACAGCCTCTGACTGCGCCTCCTTCCAGGCACGCAAAAAGTTATCGAACGCCTCCGAGTCCTCAGGATCGACCTGAGGCATAGCTTCATCCACAGGCGTGCCAGTCTCCGCCCCGGCCCCTGCGCCCGCCCCCCCACCCACATCAGCATCAGCACCGCCAGCTCCGCTGGCAGGTTGTTGCCCTTGGGCGACAGACTCGCAGCTTGGCCTGAGCTTGGCCCAGCCCTCACGGATCGCCGCCAGGTCGCCCGACGCCAACACAGAGTCGAAGTCCGACACGTGGCCTTGGAACTCAGCCGCTCGAGGAGGCGGTGGGAGGTCGGCAACCTTCGCCGCCAGCTCGAGGTAGCGTGCCTTGAGCTGCGCCTGCTGTGCAGCAGCCTCAGCCCGCTTCTCGCTGAGTTCCTTGAGACGCGCCTGAGCGTCACAAATTAGCTTGTCGAGAGAGACCACCATGCGTTCGTTCTTCTCCATGGCCTGCTGCGCCTCGTTGGCCTGCTGACGGAGGGGACGGGCTTCTGACTGACGGGAACGAATGGCTGTGGCAGAGGCTTCGACCGAGCTGTCCACCGCCGCGCGCTCGGGGAAGTCCTCCTTGAGCTGGCCCATGAGCACCTTGATCTGGGACAGCAGCGTCAGGGGATCCGATGGGGAAGCCAGCGTGCCGCCTCGACCGCCGCCACGTCCGCCAGCCCCTTTTCCCCCGCCGCCGATGGCACCGCCTCCGCCAAAAC